ATCTGTTCATCAAGATTTTAACCTAAAGACCAAAACGGTTGATTTAATTGCCTTGGGCGGTGATCGAGACTTGTTTCTAAAGATGGGAAGGCGAATGGGATGTGCCGTTCAAACGTATTTTCAAATTTTCATTTTTATACGTACAAATTATCCAATACTCTGTTCAATACAGAGCTCTCGATTCTGTTCGATTCAATTCGATTCAGCACAAACGGAAGAACCAAACCGTTGAGCAGGTCAAACCGATTTCTCTTGCCGCTGACCATCAAGTTCTTGGTGGGTCTGCTTAAGATTTTGGTTCTTCGATTGCCTGCAGCCCAAGAACATCATACCGTGCGACAACGATTGGTTCTCAAATCAACCCCTCCTGAGTTTAGGATTGTTCTGTACGATTACGGCAGCTCCTACAATAAAGCTCGAGAGGATGGCTGAGGATGACCTTCCCAAGGTCAGTTCTCTGTCATTGGTTGATTTCATTCATGGACTTTTGCTTGCTTTATTGTGGGTTTATTTGGGTTTTGATTCTGATGCAATTTTTTTTTTCTAATCCTTTTGTTTCCCCATCTGGATTTCATTTGATCGTTACCCAGTTGGATTTAATTTCATTATGTTGCAGTCATGCATCATAATCTTTGCTCATAAACTGTAGTTCTATTGTTATTAATTTGGGATTATTGTTCGAGTTTAGAGTCGGATTCCATCTGTACACGTTACTTGGAGAATGGGAAAAGCTGTTTTTCTGTAAATTCTTTTAGAACTTTCACGATTGTTTGTGGTAATATTCCACGGCTTGTATATCTGTTCGTGCGAGTTGGAAGAGTTGATGGAAATGAAAAGAGATAAAATTATGTACAGTATGATCCGCTAACCCAGCAGGTAAAAACTGCACCCATATCATCACCGGATTGTTTTGATATGCAGGCAGGTAGAAACTTCAACGAGATTTCGGTTATGTGGAAATTGCAGCGATTAAACAAATATGGATATTTCTGTAAACATGATGAGTAGATAAACTTATGTTAGCCTAGCAATTTCCACAGAACCATGATAGATAATTGCTATCTCAGAAAGATACGATAGTTGTTGTATGGCGTCCTTTTGGTTATCTGTATGGATTCTTATCTGCTTTGTTTAGAATTTTCGTGATAATGAAGCTCTATATCTATGTTTCTTACGAAATTTATAAATAAATCATGCCAAAATGCTGGAGACGAAAACCCGCAGCTACGAGAATTTCTATCTACAGCAACATCCTTAATCGCCTATCCGCTGTCTAGTTAGTTGTTATTTTTCCCCTCGTTTTCATTTTAGTGTCCTCACATTAATACAAGTTTTCTGTTTCATTTAAAGAAGTGGTAGCTTGCTTGTGGTATGACGAGCTCAGATTTTTCTGGATTGCCAGTAATTAAATCTTTTGAAAACCTTCATTATTTTGCTTGTTGGCAACGTTTAAAAGCTTCATATCCTTTTTCTCATGATTTTGGCATGTACAGGAACATATCATAGCATCGTTGGCAGAGGATCGAGAATCAACCTGTTGGGGTTGTGGGCTGCGCCTCTTGCTCCCATCAGGTGCATCTACTTTCAAGTGTGGTTGGTGTGGAGCCATAACACTTCAAACTGTACAGAAGCAAAAAGACAAGTCCTTAAAGTGGAGGTGGTTGCGAGACCGGGGTTTTGTTTGTGTCCTACTTGTATTCATACTTTTTGTGATATGTAAGAGGCTTCTCTGCCTTTTGTTTTATGTACTGATTAATGTTTGTCGAAATAGATTCCACTCTCTGGTTGCTAACATTTTTGGAACAAAACAATTTTAATTATTGTTAGTGGGATACAATTTCTATATTTCTCTGTACCACTACTTTATAATCCATTTGCTTGCAGTTGATATGATAACCAATAGATGTCATGGTGTTCTGACCTTCCATGGATTTTCTTTGAAGTGCAGGTGGTGGTGTATGGGCCGTATATCCTGTTGTTTTCTCAGTCAGCCAATTTTGTGGAATTTTCCACTCCACTGTGACCATGGTTTTGGCTGTAGCCACCCTTTCTTCGTTCAGTCTCGCTGCATTTAGATCTCCCGGAACACCTCCAAATGTCATATGGGGCAGCTATCCACTTGTAGAGAAGGGTGACCTTGAAAACTATACCTTCTGTAACTACTGCTCGAAGCCGAAGTCACGTAGAACTCATCATTGCCGCTCCTGTGGTATGTGTGTTTTGGACATGGACCACCATTGCCCATTTGTAAGTTATTCTTTCAGAGATCTTCTCAAATAAGGAACAATTTCTTTTACTCTATGTCTGTAATGCACAAGATAGATCACTGCTTAAAACTTGCTGATACTTGAAATGTCGTAGGTGTAAAGAAATAAGATATTTTCATGAATTGGGATTTAGAAAGAAATAATTGGGTTGCTTACAGTAATGGGGACTAGGCTTAACCATAACTCGGAAGGCCGGGGAGATTATTAAAAAAAAAAAAAAAAAAAAAAAAAAAAATCTACTTTCCCCAAGAGAACTACC